CTTCTGTCTTCCAAATGTAGAATTTCTTACAATAGCAGTGCGAACACATTTTCTGTTTTCAATTAAAAACGCCGGATTTCACCATTACAGGAAAGAAAGAAATTCCAGACAAGTTTCCAATAATGAGTACAGTATTCAGTAAGCGAGGAAAACAAAAATATGAAGAGCGTTGCGACACGAAACATCACAGCCTCGACCGAAGCCAGACAGAGGGAGAAAATGGATATGATTACAGACAACGATTGGAACGGCAATATCGGGTGCGAATGGTGGAAGAGGTTTTTCCCCAGAAACATTAATCACATTAGTTTGCAGACGAAACCCGTACAGACTTGAGATAATGTCTCTGATCGATCGGCTAACTTTACTGAACGAAGCGGCAACGGCTTGCAAACTGCCTAAAGGGAAAACACTGACGTTCCAAAGTGGCTATGAAAAATATACTACGCGTTAAACTGTCTTGAAAAGTATATTAGACTGAGATGGATGAACAACCGAATCCTCCTGGTACAAGTGAACGAAATGAATATAACACTAGTAGCAAATCATATCCTGTCAATGTATTCGCTGACATAGTTGTAGCAATTCATAATCCTACAATGCACTGGCTGAGGCACTTGCAACAAAGCACCTGCTGAAGAAGTGCATTTTGCAACGTAATGTTTTTAAATGGAGGTATTATTCTAAGGGTGGGGGAAGGAGTGTGTGTTTAAGGGCACGTCATCCGCTTCACTTTAAAGCAGGCCAGGTATGCATCATGACGTGAATTGTATTTTCAAAAAGAAACCTGATGAGTCTCTCTCTCTCTCTCTCTCTCTCTCTCTCTCTCTCTCTCTCTCTCTCTCTCTCTCTCTCTCTCTCTCTCTCTCTCTCTCCATCCATCGGTCTCTCTGTCCGCCTCTCTATCTCTATTTTATGGTAATCCTTAGTCCCTCTTGAAGCCAACACTTTTTACAACATACATTTCAGAAAGGAAATTCCCAAATTGCTTACGTTTGCATTAAAAAAATGCACCGCATACAGCAGAACTCGTTGGATACAACATTTCAGCACTCTCTTTTCCGACTATCGATGACAGTTAGGTAAGTTATTTTTCGACAGCGTTTGCTTAGCTTTTCCTGCTCATGAAGCTGCCCCTCGTGTCTATATGATGCTACGACTGCACGCTCCTACCAGTATTTACTATTTACATTCACCGGTTTCCTTTCGCAGATCCTCTCTACTGTATTACCACATTTTTCCAGAGAGGGTTCAGGGGTCCTACTATAGGAAAAACAAGAACAGTCCCAGTGCCTTCCAATCAAGGAAACAAGAGTCTGCACACAAATAAGCTAGATCTGTGAAATGGATGTGCACGCAACACTCATGTTCTGAGCCAAGGCTTAAGCCAAGAGGTGGATGAACACTTGCCCTTGCTGTGCTGCTCCTCCTGCTGCTGCTTCCGCTACTACTACTACCACCACCACAACCATTACTACAACTACTACTACTACTTTTCCACTTAAGAAAGGATGAACACTTGCTCCTGCTTTGCTGCTCCTCTTGCTGCTGCTTTCGCTACTACTACTACTACCACCACCACAACCATTACCACAACCACCACTACTACTACTACTTTCCCCCTTTAAGAAGGCGGTTGGCTCTAGCTACTGTAGTTTACAGCTGGCTGCTATCACTACGCCATTTGGCTAGAACACATTCGGTTCCGACAAACTATTGATTACTGTTGCTATATTTTTTTTACGGGGCAGTGAGTATACCCTTCCCCCTCCCCCTCTTCCCACTTTATCTATATCAAACACACGTAATGGGGCCGTGAAACCCACACATGAAGACAATTTACTGATCAAATGCCTATACAGTAGTGGCGACTGATAAGGTTTGTAGAATAATTAATATGTTCTAAACAAGCTCGTGGCAATGCAGCTGTATGCAAACTCGTAACTCCGTCTAGGCCTGCCTGGTTCCTCTTGCATGACTTCAGTCTTACTGCTTGCAAGATTTCACCTCGATATTACTCGTGCTGACTATGTTTAAAGAATATAAAGTAAGAAAATGGGGTGGGGAGAAGGGGGGGGGGGGGGGGGGGTAGAACAACAAGCGTTGATATGAAATCACAGTGCTTGTATTTGAACAAATTACCTAACTTAACGTTTTGGTTAAAATATAAGCTGACTGTTGACACGAAGATCGCATTGTCGAGCGACTGCACCAAGTAATGTTAATGTTAATTAAAAATAATAATCCTTAGTTCAAGCACCAGACTAACGCAAATTCGACAATGTTTTAACTTTAAAATGCATTTCTTACACACCCAGCACAGGAACAAGCGGAGCAAAAAAAAAAAAAACGGTCTGGAAGTTCTAGAAGTTCGTGACACAAAGGACTAAAACTCAGTTCGTGGTAACCAAAATTCGCGTTAGCCGAAAAACATTTATACAGGAAATGATACATCTCTGTCGGTATCAAAGGTGTTTTCGTTATAACAGCGTGTTACTGACGGTTTACTGTACTAATAAACTTCAAACATTCGTTAAGTGGTGCCTGTACAGAGCAACAAGAAGGAGAATTATATAGGCGAACATGCTAGCAGGGATCATCAGTAGAAATGTCCCTCGTCTACTGTTACGGCCAAATATCTCCCTAGACAATTCCGGAAGATGGGCCAACCTGGTTCATTAAGCAAGGCCTCGGACATCCCCTGCTGCACTTTATCGGACATTCGGACAAGGACAAGACGAAATAGTGACTTGGCAACAGGTACTGTGAGATTTGGTGTTATATGTTGTCGCTGCGGTGGCAAATTATCCGACTTCCTTCACGACCAGAGTGACAAGCTTACGGTTGGTTCATCGGTTAGACTTTGGCAACTGGCAGAGGTCACTGACTTTTAGGGATGAAAAGCTCTTTTTCACTAGGCGCTCGGACCAGTCTACCAAGACCTATTCCACCGTATTTGGGCCTGTCTCCTTTGATCGCATGAACACTACAAGAGTTTTTTTTTTTTTTTTTCAGGGCTACTTGGTGGCGAGCATTGCTAAGCCATTTTATATGGCGCACATAAACGAGTCACAATTATAACCTAAAGCTCCTCCTTCAGGAATACTGGCTGAACGTGATGATGATGATTGTTTTTTTTTTTCGCAAAGCAAGTCAAGCTACAATAATACGGCATGTTGAGAGAAAATTAATGGAAACTAGAACAAAAATAAAACTGTGAACGAAGCAACGCATTCGTTATGTCTGTTCTTAGTGTCATTCAAGTCTAAATGTGGAATGGGCCAGGAAACGGAAATTTGTAGTCCGTTATAAATAATTAACTGCCAGGTTCCGAAGTCACATACAATACCTTGATGTTTCAGTAATTAATGTTTTCGCTTCTCAAAGTGGCGCAATAAGTGAACTCATATTACCCGTAAAATATGACTTCAATCATACAGCTTTGTTTTGGTTCATATAGTATTATGATAAAGACTGTCGTTTTATACAGCGATTTAAATTTGTTTAAAAAAAAAAAGCAATACAAATGAATACTTAAAAGGTGAGATGCATGGGGAAATTTGACAATCATGAGACAGCATGAGCGATGATAGTATATACCAACTGTCGAAATAGCACTTTGTACCAAATACAGTACAAAGATACAATGATTTGGCTATCTTGTCATAATACAACAGCATCAGTTACCATATACACATATGTATATATGTGTGTGTGTGTGTGTGTGTGTGTGTGTACAAGGGAAGAGAGAGAAAGAGAGAAGAGAGAGCAATGCTGCAGAGAAATTAAAGTCGAAGAAAATGATAGACAACAGAAAGTGACAGGACAGAAGAGAGGAGAGACACGGAGAGAGCAAGAAAATAATGTTAGAAGACGGATCTTAAGACGTCCACATAGATGTGTGAGTGTTAACAATTACTAATGTGTTTCGTACTTGTGGTGTCCTACAGTACACAATTAGATTCAGAAAATATGTACTGTAAAACTATGCTTTGGTTTCAATACCAGTTATGTGGCTGTAATTGAGGTCGCGGGGTTGTCTATTCTGGTCGCATCTTTTACATTATTACTTGTCGCTTCCTTGCGTGCACTGGTTTCTATTTCCCAAACGTGGTCACTCGGTGTGTCTAGTCTACATTTTTCTTTTGACTTTTCTCCCTTCTACTCCAGGAACTAGTGGGAGTTCACTACATGTAACTATTATTCCGCTGTATAGAAATAGCATTTCGTGAAATGTCTTTGTAAAATGTAATTATCGTTCGATTATATCTTAACTGAGGATTAATCTGACGACACTGATGATCATCATGATGGTGATGCCAACGATGATGAGCAAAACCATCGATAAGCTAATATAAACTCATCTCACTCGGTCTCTGTTTTCCTAAGTGTCGATGAGAATGATGATTATGCTGTTTATGATGGCGATAATATTTGAGCTAATGATGATAAATAATCGAAACTTCTTTTTTTTTCTTCTTAGCATTCGCCGGCTGTTAACACCGATAGAAAGTCCTGGTTGTTCTTTCAAGTTTGGACTTCTACTCTTGTTCCAGAACTACAGTTTTGAGTGCATACGCGTTTTACAGATCTGGCTTGTTTATTTGCAGCCTTTTGGTTCCTCGCCTCTCGAGATGCGCTCCGATTTTGAAGAAAGCGATTCTAATTAGTCGACTTATACGACATGCTTGTTTGAAATGGGGAGGAGGGTAGTGAGTCTATTCTACTTTGCCCTTATAATGGGGCTCCGCAACCTATAGGAGGACAATCTAAACGATATACAAATATGAACACAACCTACCAGATCAGTGTTATACTGATGGTGGTGATGATAATGAAAATGCTTGAGTTAATGAAGATAACCAAGACCCACGATTTGCAAGTATAAACACCACCTATGCGATCAGTCCTTTCCATTTAATAATGCTGGTGATGATAACAATGTTTAAGCTAATGATCACAAACAAGCCCAAAGATGTGCAAACATAAACGTCACTTACCCGATCAGTATTGTCTAGCTGATGATTGGTTAAATGCACGGAGACGGACAGCTGAATCGCTGGCAGCAGAATACCCGAGAGTACCGCCACTGTCATGCCCACGGGAATCCCCGAATAGATCATATAGACGAAGAACACAGTGATCCACAATCCGTCTGAAACATCCCGCGGCTTTGGGTCCAGCGTTTCTATACACACCACAACAAACAGCAACAACACGGCGACATGGCTGATGATCTGCAGAGTCAAGTAGTCGAGCTGGATGTAATAAAGCAAAATCTCTAGGATGACGAACAAGAGGATCACAATACCGAGCACTATGCCTCGGATGGGACTAATCATTCCATTTACGTAAAATAAAACAATAAGCAGAAGACAGACAACAATACTCAAAAGTTGCATATTCGACTGCGATGACTGATCGACTTTCAGAAAGTAGCGCCTGTACAGGTTTTCGAGTGTCTTGTCGCTAAAACGTTTTGAACGAAATATATTTATTAAACGCTTGACACTATCTGTGAACTTCAGCGTTTGTTTCAGAGATGCTTGCGAGAAATCGAAATCATATTTGCCGCTGAGCTTCTTCTCTTCAATTTTCAACTCTTTGGATTTCTGGTTGTAGCTCTCCTCCCATGCCTCCTTCACTGATGTCTTTCGCTTTGAGTTTTCTTCATCCATTGGTGAGATTTTCTTTCTGTGCAGATTTGCGAATTCCATGCCTCCGCGCTGTACTGGTTCAATTCGGTGCAGGATCCACCTGAGCCGTTGTTCGCGCCATACTCACTGAATAAAAACGAGACAGGTTAGGTAAGGCATGACTTCAGGGCTTCACTATTCTTAAACGTAGACCTGAAATGAGAGGGAAAACACAAATATTATAGTCAAACTGTACAGGAATGTTTGCTCAATGTATCTAACAAACATAGACGCGCGCGCACGCACACACACACACGCACACAAACACAGACATACAGACATTTAAAAAAAACGGACAGACATACAGACGAATCTAGTAAGAGAATCGATCGGCGTAGAAAAAAACAGATACTGTGATTTTGAGACCTGCCAGCGTTAAAAGATCACCAAACCAAACAAGAAAATAAAATGATATATGAGAGGTGTAATTAATGTGTAGTTAATGCATCACCCTAATTAAAGAAGAACTAATGCCAGAATAGTATGAAACGATAAATTAACAATACTGCTTGGAAAAAAAGTAGCCTCACGTAGAAAAATACTGGACAATAGAACCCGGAAAGGGGGCAGCGGGGTAGAACACAATGCTCATCATAGTATTAGAGAGATTCGTCAGAGGGGTAACAAATAATAATGCAAACAAAGACAACGTCAACAAAATATCGGATGAGAAAGAGGATTTGAAAGTTAAGATCGCCGATATGTTTCAGATTGAGAGCCCGAAGAAAAGGTGGATCTATTATGTACTTACATGTAAGCAGTCAGGGGGCGCTGACACAAAAACATATATTTGGTGACAAATTGGCTAGGGGGGGGGGGGGGGGTTAGGGGCGCTCAGTCTATATATACATTTATAAACAGGCCGTGATAAGATTTTCCATAATTAATATGGGCTCTCAACAACAACAAAAAAGTAACAGAAAAAAATAAAAAAATTAGTTAATCAAATCAAGTGCCGACGTGTCTGTAACAGTGTGATTCCAGCACTATGGAGTAAACAGAACTCATTATTTTACACATACACCGTAGAAAAGATTCTAGATAATTAAACACGCCTGAGACTTCATGAAGCATGATGGAGTGAAGAATTAAAGCTCGATGGAAAGGCACAGTTACTGGAGTATATATATATATATATATATAGATATATATATATATATATATATATATATAACTATATATATATATATATTATACCTATAGAATATACTAGCTGTACCCGGCCACGGTGCGTTGCTGTGGCGTAATTTGAGATAGTCTTTGATCCCCACCCCAGCCCCAAAACCCCCCCCCCCCCCCCCCCCACCAAATCAACCAACTAAATCAAAACTACTACCCTCTGCCTCATCAAAGGGTTTTAGAAAAGAAAGACAATGGAAATCGCACCTGTCCTAATGAAGTTAATGACGCAGTCAATGTCTGCGCCCCGACGTCGAGATAGTCCTTGATTGCCCCCCCCCCCCCCCCCATCGAAGGTTGTTTTGAAAAAAAACATAACTATGTTCAACAACAACTCACGAGCTCAACAGACGCCTAAAATAAAGTAAAAAGTAAAGATCCCTTTTCACGCCTTTCGGCGCATCGGGCATATGGGCAGAGCGTCCCATATTTTTACAGAAAATCAGCACTCTGTGGGTAATGTGGTCAGCATTACGCCGGCTTTACTTTCCCAGGACAGCCCATCCTGGTACCCATTTTAGGCTGGGTCGACCTGTGGCGTCCCATACCACGACAAAAATCCATGCAGCCTGCAGTGGGTTCGATTACACATAATTATACCAAAATGATGTCCACATCTAGCATGATACAAGGATGTGTAATATTTTCTTAGTAAAAAAGTAAATATAAAAGGTTTCCAGGCCAGCGGCGTAATGGGCAAACGTTGATAGATTCATCTTATTCTAGACCAAATGGCATTCGATGAGTGATGTGGTCACCATTACTCCAGAACTTTATGTCGTATTCATTTTAAGCTGGGTCTGTGGGGCGGGTGATGGGAGCGGCGCTCAGGTGAAATTAAGGGTTCTGGTGGGGCTAAAAACAGCGGTGGGTAAAATGAAAAAAAGAACGCAAAGAAACTATTTAATTATCTTTTCGTATCTGTCTGCCTTAATGTGTAACAGATTAAATTCATTGTGATTACATACTTTTCAAAACAAATAATAATTATAAGTTAATACCAATTAGATTAATCCTTCCCATTAAGATTACTTTAAATGTCATTTTCAACTTTTATTTTTATATAACCTTTTCCGCACTTTTTGGAATGAAGAACCTGAGCAGAATATTCCACAGTAAGTATTCTTGGATAAGAGTCATCCAGAATCAACCATCAGCTGGAGTTAAACCGGACGGTTATTAAGTTAGTAAAACCGACAGTGGACGTCCCTCGAGGCAGTGGGATAGCCCCACGTCTTGTCTTAATATACATAACTGGCATCATTTAATTGTTACATCAACACGTGTCCGTCTACATGCAGATGACTTTACTCCTGCAATGAAAAAAAAAATGAAAAAACAACTATACCTCAACAGCCTCCTAGCTACTTCAAAAGTCAGTAGAGATAGTAGAGAATTCGAGAAAAAAAAAATAGGCGTCTAACACAGAAACAAACAATACCCACATCAAGTCTACTGTTTCTTCCAACACAAAGAAAGAAGATGCCTAACGTTAGAAAATCAATCAATACTTCAGACAGATAACCCACATTCCTTGGAGTTTTCCTCGACACCAGACACACAGATTACGTCAAACTAGGAGACGTTGTGATCCAGTCTGTGTTTAATGAAATGAAACCCCTAGTGCCCTTACATACATGTTTACGTCTGGCAGCTCCATGAAGCACCATCATATCCACCAGCCTGAACAGGGTCACGGAGTCATACATGACGTAATCATCCTCACATAGGCATCTCACAAGACACTAATGACATCGCTCCTGACTAGCGCCAGAGCCCGGCTCTCTAGCGCAGTTGGTTAAACCTGACAATTAGCGGCGGCCGGGTGACGAACTCCTTGTGGTCCGGGTTTTACTCCCGGGGGTGGGCAGAAAAGCCACATTTCTCCCAGATTAACGGTACCTATAATGGAATCAAGGCCGAAGGGTTGCGATATTCATAGTACCGAGCCAAAGGGTTTACAACCCATGGTTTCTGGATACTTTACAGAGCAGTCATAATCTCTGCCTTGTCCGTCAGATAATCTTCCATTCGCTGCCATCAACACCTGTATGACCCGCCACAAAGCTTAGGCTGAACATTCACAACGCTGATAATAAGACAAACTGGAGTATCAAGATGTCAAAGCAAACGAAAAGCAGAGCCATGATAAGCCCGTACGTAAAACTACAAAACCACAAGTACTAACACAAATAACTAATTTGTCTATTTCTGATAGAAATTCAATTACTAGCATTATCAGGCACGAGCGTTGCCGCCGTGAAAAAAATACTGACTAGAAAAGAAAAAAGAAAAAAAACATACAGGGACAAGGACCCTAAGTCCAAAATATTATATAAAACTGTTTCGGATGTTACCTTTCCTATGTGAACTGGCACCCAAGAAATTGATAAGACAGTTTTTGAGAGACTTACGGACTCCTGTCATTGGAGTTGCTAGATTTGATTGTCATAAGCTATAAGTCAAGGTCATTTTGGGGACCATCAGAACTGTAATTACAAAGGCACACGTTTGAGGGCACATTTTTGCATATCAGAAAGATCTTGCCCGAACCCCTCAGCTAGTCGTAGCCTCGTTTTAGTGAGATATTCCATACCACATCTTGTGTTGATGACGGCGTAAATAACACTGCAGCTCGTGCAATAGAATGTTCCACGTACGTGGAAGGTGGCATTAGGGAGTTCCGGACCATCTGCCTCAGTCTCGTAAAGACAAGTCTTGCAAATAGGTCTATGATAAGAGACAGTGTCTGAATGGGACTCAGAGGTGGGACGTAATTGACTGTTGACTAGAACATCCTTAAGGTTACAACCATGTCTGTAGGCCACCAGGGTCAGCCTTTAGGGTGCGAGGAGCCTGTGGCACAGATGTTGTAAAGGTTGTATGTAAGCGGGAGGATAGGTCTGTTGTGGTGATGTTTAGGTCTGGAAGTGAGGCCCACAACACAGCCTATAGACCAGAGGTTCTCAATCTGTTGGTCGCGACCATTTTTTAATAGAATGACCCTTTCACAGGGATCGCATGAGAGCATCGGAAATCACATATTCATTGAAAGTATGAAATATTAACAAAAATAAGTGTATGTTTGGGGGTCGCCACAAGGCGAAGAACTGTATTAAAGGGTAGCAGAAGTAGAAAGTTTAAGAGCCGCTGCTTCAGACCGTGAGCGATGAAATGCAGCATATAAATTGTGTTCAGGGTAGCCTCGAAGCCGAAAGAAGCCCAGCACTTCCAGGGCCCTATGATGGAAGTCGTCCTTCTCCTGGCAGTCTACGGAGGAGTATGTACTTGCGGAAAACTGCAAAATGAAGGAAAAGTTGGAAAATAAGACAGAAAGATAAATATATGAATGGCTTAGCCACCAGTGTTGGGTGGGACAAGGGCACTGATATGATCCGGCGTATTGCTGATGGCGTACGATGGCGAATCATCGCCGCCTATACTTATCGACAACGCAAAAGATGATGATTTGTTCCAGAAAGAGAGGGGGAGAGAGAGAGATAGATAGATAGAGAGAGAGAGACAAACAGAACGAACGAACAAACGAACTTTATTTTCAAAGGGTTACAAATTGGGCACGCAGGCCCGTCTGACATTTGGCCCTTCTAAGTACTCATTTTTCAGAGTACCAATACCTGTTATCAATAATGCATGTTATGGATTTAATAAAGAAATATAAATTATAGTATAATGCATACACACATCATGTTTACACAATCGTAGACACTCACACACACACGTATACATACTCCTATGTTCTCATACATGCGAACTCATATACAGACATACATGATATATACACA